ATCAGTGATTACTGAATGAACAAAAAGAAAATGCAAAGAGCACAGGAGAGTTTCCTTTACATTGATTTCTCCAAACATTATTACGAACTATTTATATTAAAAATGCAGACAGATTCCCAGTGAAGACAGATAGAAGTAAAAACAAACATATACTTATTTTCTTGAAAAAAAAGAAATAAAATTATAAATATATTTGTCATTGTGATTTAATATACTTACTTCAGTGTAAAATTTAATTGTTAAATTCTTATTTACTTTTTTAACAAATTTTATATGTCACAAAACAATTATTCATTACATTAAAATAAATTCATATTCTATTATCATTTAAATATGTGGCTAAAGATTTATAAAAGACAAGTTATTTCATATTAATTTTTTTAAATATTTATAAATGAAAAAATAAAATGTAAAGATTTATAAAAATTATTTAATTTTAATATTAATTTATTAAAGTTTCTTAAATAATTGAAGTAAAAATATATATAATAACAAAAATAAAACATCAATATATAAATATTTTTAATAATTCTAAAAATTAATCTAATTTATTGTTAAAATAATAAGTAATTTTAATATCAAAGATTTTTCGTAATACAATATCTAACATTGAATATCTTATATTGAAATATAAAAATAAAAAAATAATTATATATATAATTATATAATTATATTATAAAATAATATCATACTAACAGCTGAAAATATTATAAAATTTAAATGCAATAATATACTTTTCTTAATAATTTATTTATTTTAATTTAAAAAGATTTGAATTCACAAAAAAATATTGCAAATAAATTAATTCAATTTTAATATTAAACATTAACTTTATTATTAATAGCAAAATTTTGTATTTTTAATTTAATTAAAATTTAGAATTAAACTTTCATCGAATAAATATTCTTAGCTCTTTAAAATTAAGAATTTTAATATATATAGACATAAAATATTTTCTAGAAAATTGTTGCAATTTTTTAATTTTTTTAATTATAATTACATTTATCTATTTCAATGTTATGTCAATTAAATTAGTAAAAATTAATCAACAATCCATTAAAAATTTTTTTTATGCAAATATATATCAATTATTTGAATTAAATCTTTTTCATCTATTTCTCCTTCTCGTTATAAAACCGAATTTAAAACTGTTCACTTTGGATATATATTCTGAATTTATCATTCATAAAAATACAAAGATAGTTTCCATCTGATTTCATCCAAAGTAAACATGTAATTAGTAAACAAAATATAACTAGTTTTTACTTTTGATGAATAAAATAGATTCATTCATAATAAAGCAATAATAACAGATCTAAATTTATTCGAAATAACGAATAAGCAAGTATTTAAGTAATAGTTTTGTCGTATTTTTTACACATTCAAAATGAAAAATCTAAATTCGCCTTAATTCAATCTTAATATTCATATTTCATTAGCTGATATTTTGAAACTTAGTGTGTTAATATATTACATTCAATTATTGCATAAGTATAAATATTTCAGCTTTTATCTTTCATATTTATTATAGATTAATGAAAAAATGAGAAAGCATCCAAAATGAAAAAGTATAAATTCGTCTTAAATTACTATATATGAATTACATTAATCTATTTATTCATTCATCTTTAACATTCATAGAAAGACTTAGTGTGAATCTTATTAAAATCAAGTTGAAGAATTTATAAATCATTTTTTATTTGAAGAATACATATTAAAAAATCAAATATTTTCAATTTCACGACTACAAATTAATATAATATACATTAATTACAAATGAAACAATTTCTTTGACAAAAAAATCCAAATATGTATCTATTACCAGTGTTATATTATTAAATTATTTTTATTTTTTTTACTAATCATATAAATCAATAAAAAATCAAAAAATAATAGTTTATAAATTATGGATACAATGAAATAAAAAGAAAAAGAATTAAAAGAAAAGAATTCAAATAATTAATAAATTTTATAAACAACTATGATTCAAACTATGATTGTTAAAAATTATAAAATTTTGAAACAATCATCACAAGACTTTTTTATTCGAAGCCCTGTAAATACATACTTACTCGCCAAGAGCAATCATGCATGTGCGATTTTTCCCAGGACAGTATCATCTAATGAGCATGAATCATTCAAGTTAATACATAATCATTTTCCGATCAACGGACAAGACAGTTAATCTTTCTTGTCTACAAACTTGCATTTTTTCATTTTATAAGTACATAAAAATTATACAATTGCAGATATTGAAAAAGAAGATTTGATTCTTTAGAATGAAATAAGACAAAAATCAAAAATAAGAATAATTGTATTTTTTGTTTTATTTTTTGATTATTAATAATTATAAATGAATGGAAATAAAACGAAAATTAATTTTGACTAACCAATTCGAAAAACTATTATCAAAATCAATATTATTTGTTTAATAAAATGATTTTCTTTAAATCTCTATAAAATGATTTTAGATATTCGAAATATTGATCATTTATAATGATGCAAAATTACAATTTTTGAATTATTGAATCACATGCATGTTTTATTGTTTATTATAAGTTAATTTCAACAAATGATGCAGTTCGCTTTTTCATGTTTTCTTGTGTAATTTATATTTTTTGATAAACAATGTTTTTGAAATTTTTCCACAGAAAGAAATCTAATGGTATTAAGTAAAAAAATACTTAGCCACAAACTAGTCCTGATTTCTTCATAGATTTAAATAGAACTCATTTAAATTTTTTATTTTTCCAGCATAATGTGCTAACATCATGTTATATGCAATCACATTGTTTATTGATTATTTAATGATTTAACAATATGTTAATTTAGTACAATATGTGCTGGAATAAATTTAGAGATAAAATATGCGTATGATTCAATAATTCAAAACAACTTCCATTGTCACGAATGTTCAATATATCGAATATCTCTTCTAAAATAAAGAAAATCATTTTATAAGTAGATTTGATCTTGATAATAGTTTCTTGAATTGGTCTCGAAGTCGGCTATTTATATTCATAAAAAAATAATTCGTTATAAACAAAAAGATGATATTGAATTGCATCCACTCATATAAAAAATACTTATATTATATTATGTCTTTCCTTAACAAAATTATATATAAAATTTTTTCATATTGTTACAAATAATGAAAATATTCAAGGTGAATAAAATTATTGGATTATTCTATATAGTCTAATATAAATCATTCATTTGAAAAATTGTCAATATTTTTACATATTAAGTTTTATATTTATTTTGGTATCTAAAATCAATCTTTCAAAGATATCCTCTATATTTTTATAAATATCTTATATTTTTCTAATGAAAGATTAGGATAGTGAAACAAGAAATCCAAGTCTTTCTATTCTACATATCTGCAAATAAATTAAATGTAATAATTTTTTATCATATTGTTTTCATTAAAATTGTCCATATTCCATAGCATTCTAACAGAATTTCTTAAAAATTCATGTCATTGCAAAACAGATACATGCGAAGCAGAAGCTTTTAATATCTAAAAATTTTAATTTATCTTAATTACATGAAAAATAAAAGCATACTTGAAACAAATTATAAACATGTGAATAAAAAATAATATTTAATAATAATAAAATTTAATTTTATTAATTTATCTTACATTGGCAAATGCTTTCAAAGAAAGACACACAAATTTATCCGCAGTGTTAGTTGTTTTTGTGATCCTAATATTATCAATGCTAATACAAGCGTCTCGAGGTTTTAAATCGTACCAAATTATACACTGATAATTTCTTCTGTGATGATTTCGTTCTAAAAAGAAAAAGTGCTAAAATATTATATTCTTGGCAGTTTACAGTCGAATCTTTATAATTCGAAAATCTCTATAAAAATAAAATTTTATTCATTCTTTTTTTATCATCTGTAAAAACTTCTATAAACGTGAACATTATCTTTAATTCGAATTATTCAATGTTTTAATTATGTATTATTTTTTATTTCCGATCTTTTTTATTGTTTTTTATTGTTTTTAGTTTTCAAAGAAATCTGAAAAACTTCTGAAATATTGAGTTTCTATTTAAATATACAAATAATCCTTAACTGAAATATTAAAATTTTTTTTAGTAAATCATATTGGAGAAATTTAACAATATAATTTTCTTAATCCTCAGAAACTTAGATCAATTTTTATAATATATATAAGATTAAGAAGATTATTATATAAGTGAAAATTTCATAGAAAAGTTAATAGAAGTTAATAAAATTATCAAAATTCGACTGTTTTTTTTATTTCTCATATTTTTATATTCTTACCTTAGAAGTAAGATATTCTCCATTATGACAAAGAATGAAAGTTTCACAATTGATAGCCATGATAATATGGAAAATATCTAATTATTAATATATCCGTTTCTTCCGTTACATAAAGATTATTATTAATAAAAATATTAATCAATTTAAAATATAAAAATTAATATTTTATAAACATTAGATAAAAATTATATATTATGAATTTTTAATAGAAAAAAATATTGAAAATTTTGATTTAAGAAATTTTTTTTATATTTAAAAAATTGCATAACAATAATATATTTTTTTATATTCATTAAAAAAATAATAAGTATGTTATTATAAAATATAAATGTAAATAAATATATAATTAAGTAAATAAGAATTAATCATAATGGATAATTAAATTGATATAAATAAATAAATAAATATAAATAAAGCAAAATATATATATATATATATATATATATATATATATTATATTTTTATATATTAACTTTTAAATTATAATATTTTAACTTTTTTAATATCTAGAATATCTCCAAAAAATATCTTGTGAATATATTAACATCCAATATATATATATATATATATACTATTTAATTCTTTTCATTAGTCATTTCATTATTTTTCAAATCATTAAAATTAGAAGGATTAAAAAATAATATTATATTTAATATTATCGATTATTGCATTCAAATTTTCTAATTTATCTTATTTACATATCTACAAATAATTAAATTTAATACATTTTACTACATATTTCATCAAAATTGTCTATATTTCAATGAAAAATCCGCAACATATTGAAATGATTTCTTAAAAATTCAGTACCTTGCATATAGAACAGACACATATGAAGCAGAAGCTTTTAACATCTAAAAATTTATATTTATCATAATTATATAAAAAATAAAAAATGAAAAATACAAAATAAATTAAAAATATATACAAAAATATTAAAATGATAAAAAATAAGATATTCTTAATTTACATTTATTTATTCGATAATAAATTTAATTCTCTTACATTAGCAAATGCCTCTAGAGAAAGACAGACAAATTTGCCCGCTGTAAGCGTTAATTGCTTTTGTGATCGTAAGATTATCATTAGCATAATACGAACATCTCGAGGTTTTAACTCGTACCAAAGAAAATTATATATAGCTTTGTTAATATTTTCACTCTAAAAAAAGATATCAGTAAAACATTGTATTTTTTATCAATTATTTTTTTTTTTTCACCTTAGAAGTAATATATTCTCCGGTATAACACAGAATAAATGCTTCGCAATTAACAGCAATGTAATAGGGAAGACATTTCATTATTAATACAATTGTTTGTTCCGTATGCAAAGACTGTTATAAAAAAAAAATGAATCAATTTCACTATTTCTATTTTATTATAATTATCTATTAAATACATAATAATTTTAATTGAATACTTACGACTGTCAGAACGAAACTTATAAAGCAAATTACCAACATATTTGATACAAATTGACATAGGGATATATAAGTAAAAATTGTTTCGATATTTTTTGAAAGTTGTATAATTTTTTGATGTCTCACAACAATATCCTTTATATATTGCGACTCTCTTTTCTTGTAACTATGAAAAGTTAAGTTTTGACAAAATAAGTCAATTTGACTACCAACATATAGTATCTAAAAAAGCAAATTTTCCAAATGATCAAAAAATACCTAAACATTAAAAATATTGTATTTTACAAGTGTGTTTATATGTAATAAAAGTGTATATATATATATATATATATATATGTAATAAGAACTCGTAAAAATAAATTATTTATTCATTTAAAATTTTTAACTAACTATATATGATTTACATATAGACATAGTAAATATATAATATATAAATATCTTAATTTCTTGTATAATAATTCTTATTATATTTATTTTTTATATTTTTATATTTAATGTTTTTTCATTTAATATCAAATTGTATTTCTCTATAGATTAAAATTTATTAACAGACATTTATTAACATTTGACAATTAAAAATAAAATAAAAATATAGATCATAAAGTATCTTATCATAAAAGACTTTTTAATATAGGAAAAATAGATAAAATTTTTATTATGTATATGTATTAATAAATCATCAATGTACTATTCTTGAAATTTTTTTAATCAAAATAGCAAATTTAAGTAAGATATCCTTAAATTTAATAATGTTTTATTATATTCTATAATTATTTATATTTGTTCGTATTTATTTGTCTCGTATCTTTATATTAATTTATAAATTAAATAATATCTAAATATTAATTAAATTAATTTTTTATTATATATAATGATAATGGGACTACAAATATTTTTTTAAATTTTTAAAAAGTTTAAAAAGTTTTATATGTATAAATAATTTGCAAATTTCTAATTTTATTTTTAATTATTTTCATAAATATTTTCTTAAATCCAGAAATTATAGATATTAATTCATTTAAAAAAAAATTAAAAATATTTTTGATTGGTATGTTATAATTGAAATTAACTTTTTTTTTAAGAGTATCAAAAAACTTAAAAAATGTTTTTTAAATTAAAAAGAAAAATGAAAAATAAGCGTATTTCAACATTGTTTTAAAAAGTTATAATAAAACGTTTGAAAAAAAACAATAAAAAACTTATTATCATTTAATTATGGAATGTTTTAAAAGCATTTATTAGAATAGAATGTTTTGACATGTAATATGTCATGAAATTTAAATTAAAGAAGGAATAGTTCTTAAAACTCTTAAAAATTCCATTAATTTCTTGACAATAATTAATTAATAAATATTTAAATGTTAAAATAATTAAATATAATATTAAATTTTTTTATTCTTTAATAATTTCTTTAAAACATACATGATTAAAAAAATTACTTACTAATGCTGCAATTAATGCTATTGATGTAGCCGCACCATAAACAATGAATGACTCGAATATAAATTGTATAATCAGAATAATTTCATAACGTGGAGAAATTGTGGCTATGAATGGAAATTCCATTCTGACTAAAAACTTTCCTTGATCTTCGTCAAATACTACTAAAGCAACTCCTGAATATAGGAAAAATGTAATCGCGAAATAACTGATTAAGAAATTTGAAATACGAGAAGACAATGTGGATTTATCCGTTATTATTCGTTTATTTTCAGTAACAGAGTAATTATTATTCAAGTCTTCCTTCATGGACATCAGAATTTCGTAAAACGTTCTGTTCAAAAATAATATTTTCTTTAAACTGAGTATATAAAACATTTTTTAAAAATTATTAATTTTATTAAATATTATACTGTCACATTTATATCTTAGAAATAATTTTAATTAATATTTCATTTTTGAAGCGTACAGAATTTATATTGAAATTCATAAAATTAATAATTTAATAATCAAAAAAATTCGAGTTCTACATAAACTTAATTCCGTTTAAATGCAAATAGATAAATAACAATCGACAGCTTTAATAGCAATTTTCTGTTTTCTATTTTTTCTTAGATTTCAATAATTCAAATATGAAAGTTATATCAATCTAAAAAAAATACAATCTATTCAATATATATTAGAAACAAATGAAATTAATTTATTAATTTTCTAATTTTTTTTTTCATAAAAAAAACAAGTTTCAAAAAAAAATTATAATTTTTTATATAGATATAAGTTTAATTAAATCTCTAAACGATATTTTTCTTGAATAAGCTCAATATTTCATATATATATTTAATTTGAAAGTGAAAGAAATTGAAAGTAATGCTAAATCAGCAAAATTTTTTTAATTTTATAAAAAAAAACAATAAAAGAGATTGAATTTATATTAATTTTTTTGATATTAAAAAGTGTAAGTGTGTATTATATGTATATAATACACATACAATTTCATATAAATATATGAAATAGAAACTGATTTAATTTTGTTTCATAAAAAAAAAATATTTCATTAACATTTCAGAAATAAGATATTACATTTTAAAAAAAAAAGTTTTAGAGATACGCATTTCTGATTCAATTTGTAGAGAAATATAAATAAAATAGTGACTGGAAAACAATTTTCATAAAATTTATTTTTTATAAAAAACAAAGATTTAATTTAATAATGGATCTTATTCATGATTAACTTCATATATATAATATATAATATTAAATTCTAAAAAAGAAAGAAAAAAGAAAAGAAAAAAATAAAGAAAAATAAAAAAAAATTATATTATAAATAACAATATGATATCTATATCTTACCGTTTGTGAAACCAAATAACAATTAACTTGATGAAAACAAGTGTATTCGATAAAGTAAGACTTAATCCATCTAATAGATCAATTAAACTTAATTTAATATGAGTAATACAATACCAATATTGAAATACTAGAAATGTTGGCAATATTATTGTCCAAGTAATAATTTTCAATTTTGAATACGGAGAATCTGGCCAAATACCAAATATACGCAAACTATATTCCAATGGACGATTGATCATAATTTTCGAGATTATCGATGAAATTTTCAATTTTTATTCAAATAATTGAGGTAAAATAGTAATATTACTGTAATCATAATATTATATAAAAGTGTTATGAAAAATACTAAAATAATTATTTACTTAATATATCAATATAATAATAATGATATTCAATACATATTTAATTTTATCTTAATTTTTAATAAATATTTCTGATAGATTTTAATATGCTGAATATGCATCTGCAAATCATTTTCTTCCAGAATACACAGTTTTTAAAAAAATCAATTTAAAAAAAACAATGTTTTAATCTTGAAACTTTTTTTATGTTTTTACATTTTAATAGTTATAAGTAGTTAGAAATTATTAAATCATAAATTATTAAATCATTTATATATATTCGCCAAACATATATATAAATCCAATATTCATCACATTTTTTTAATAAAAAAATATTTGTTCAAAAATTTCTTATTGTTTTTGGTTCATTTTTTATCATTGCAATTTTTCAATAAAAATAAATTTCAGTTTAAATTTTTAATTATTCATTCAATTGATTCAATATTATTCCTTTTTTCATTATTTCTTAAAGAAAAAACTTCTATATTCTTCCGTTTTTCAAAAATAAATATAGAAATTTCAATATAGAAGCAATATAGTTTAACACAATATATAATGGCAGTAATAATATTCAATGATGGTTTCTTTCACATTCCATTATGCTAAGCGGCATAAAAAATATTGTATTATCACTACTACATATTTTGTCTATTTCGCTTCAATATTAAAGCAATTTTTAAATCTATTATATGATATTAGTTTTTTTTTAGATTCTTAATTTTTTAAATAATTTGAAAAATATCAGCAAAAATGAATGAAATGTTTTGGACATCTTTGATCTTTATTTAAATATATTTAAATATTTATTGTTTTGATTGTCATTTAAATATGTTTTATAAAAGCATAAAATACTAATATCTAAAATAGAAAAATTATAACGTTATTTTAAAATGATTTTTCAAAAATTGTCGATTTTAAAAATGATTTGCAAATTTTTATTCATCATATATTTATATGAGAAATATTCTTGAAGATTAAAAAATTGAAAAGAAAATTTAAATATAATTACAGAGTGAAAATTCTTTTTTTGTCGCTTTGATTAATTATTTTTGTTTTAATTACAAATACCAAAAAATATTAAATTATTTCTCGAATAATGTCCCAATAGTCATAGTTCAAATAAAATATATCTTAGGCGTAAACTAATCTCTTTGACGTAGTTGCACAGTCGAATGCTCATTGTGTACTAAACTCTTCTCAATGTGGGTATCGATCAAATGAAATTACTAGAGTATTACACAAATAATCCTAAGATAGACAAGGTAAAGATAAAACGACTTATTACTAATAATTGCTTTGCTTTAAGAAAGAAGAATAATTTCTTGTTCTTTTTTATAATTGTAGTAACACAGGATACAATCTTATTTCATAATATCTCTAGTTTCAGTTTTATTTCTAACTGTATAATAATTGTACATCGATACATAATAATTGTATAATAATTGTAAACGATTACATTATTATTAATATATAATTTATTAATATATAAATCATTTTTAATCAAAATTATACGTGCAAATAATTGTAAAAATTAGGAAAATATTTAATAGAATTCCATAACATATAAGCAGTAATATTGCTATTAATATATATCAAAAGATTTAAAATTTTATCATTATGCATCAAAAAAATTATTCTATGGCAAAACAAATAATAAATATATCTATTTATTCTTTAATACAATATTATATTATATAAAAATTAATTTTTACAAATTATAATTATAATATAATATTAAATCATTTAAAGTAAATATATATCAAATACTTTCATTCGTTTAATTATTTAAATTAAAATAATAATTATATTTTATTAAAATAAAAAAAATATTAAAATGTTTTAAGTTTCGTAAAATGCATAATAATATAATAATGTGTATTTTAAAAATATACAATAAAGCAGAAGTGTGTTCCGATAAAAAGTACTTGAAGATTCAAAAATTAACAACCAAATTTGATTAGTTTCTGATAGTAGATAATGCAACTATAAAAATAGAAAGATATATTAACTGAAAATATTACGATTACTTACATTACATATACAAGATCTAACAATTTAATTCGCGAAATCATGATAAAATTATTGTATAAATTATTATTAAAATTTGCTGAATCATTATGATTATTTTCAAAGTATTTGGATTAATAATGTTTTGTCTATTCTTCAAAACAATTTTGGAAATAATTTTTTGAAATGATCTTCAAAACTGTATTATTCTTGATATCAGTCAAATTTTTATATTTTTTATTTTTAGGAATAAAAAAAATAGAAGTTAATTATAATTAGAATGTAACGTAGATGAGTGTGTTCTCTGAAATAATATATTGACAAAAGACTAAAAAATTTCAAAAATTAACATGCTATCAGTAAAATATTTCGTAACAAAATAGATTTACAAAAGTACATAGCTGTTTATGTATTTATTTAAATCAATTTTCAGTTCAAAAGTTTTTTTAGCATTTTTTTTATTATTTATTTCGTTCTTCGAAAATAATTAAAATTGTTTTATTTTAGCTACTATCTAGCCACTTTCAATTTGTGATATTCGACAATGCTGTTTAGAGGAAGAAACAATCATAAGTTATGCTTTTGTTTTTTAAGCAATATATATTGAACATTTAAAGTAAACTACTATGTTTTTTATCACATTTTTAAATTTTTAACTTGGTTATATAACTAATGAATAAACTTTGAAATCGTTAAAAATAAAAACTTTCATTTTTGAATTTATTATTTTTATAAAAAAAATATGTAATTATCTAATTTTTATTCAAATTCAATTAAATTGGTTTTATTAATGCATTCTCTACCAGATAAAATTATTTGATTTCATTTTCATCTATTCATCTATTTCTTAATTACAAGTATTAATATATTATAATTAATATATTTGTGCAATTTTTTTGGATATTAATTCTAGAATTAAAGTTATGAATAATTTAAGTTTGCTATCAAAGTTTTCTAAGTTTAAATTAAGCTATCTATCTCCATCTTATTTTGTTCAATACTTTATTCAAACTTTAATTACTTATATCTTAATAAATAAACCTTAACTGATATCTTCGTTAGAAACTTTTATATTTTTAT